ATACTCTTGGAGTCCTCACACTCCCCTCAAGTGAGGACCCCCGTGGCCAGGACTCCCACCCCTTGGCCCCTTGAGGAAGCAGAAGAGGCTATGCTCTGGCCTGGCCCAGTCCCAGGGCCCTTCTCTCGGCTCTCGGCCTGCAGGTGACCTCCCCGCAGGTACCTGTAGGACTTAAACCACATCCACATCTATGGACTCTACTGCCCAATGCATGCCCTCCCGGAACAGCTGCCACGTCTCTCCTCCAGGGCCCCAGGGCTGAGGGGCATCCCCCAGGCACGACGCCAGGGTGCAAGTCCCAAGGCTTCCACACCCTTGGGTGCTTGACATGTCCCCTGCTGCACCCCAAGCCCACAGTGGGGTGCACTTCCTGGCCCTTTCTCCACCCCCCGCATCACTCCACCCACCCCTCCAGGCCTACTCAGCCTGCCCTAGGCCCTGTCAGTCAGCATACCTCCAGGGTCCCCAGAATCCCCTCTAGCTTACCCTGCTGTACCACTGTTCTGGTGACCATCCTGTCTCTGTGAACACACTCTCAAGTTGGGGCTGCTCCCTGGGCAATGACAAGGGCCCCCGAATGGTGTGGCCCCTCCCTGATCAGATCCTCCCACAGGTCCCTGGGGCCCACTCTTGCCACCTCTTCGTCCTGCAACTTGGGGTCTCGTAGCTCTTTAGTTGTTCAATTAGGGTGACTTGAGGTGGGAGATGGTGACAGGAGGACAAGCAGGGCAAGGATGGGGTGGGAGCCCGGGAGGGAGGGACCAACCACCCAGAACTCGGTGGGAAGGAGCCAGATGGCCTCCTGAGCCTCCCACGAAGCCCGATCCTCGCCAGGCCCAGGGTAGCACCCATGGGTGAACAGGGCAGGTGGGTGGGCGGGGGAGTGGCGGAAGGGCCTTTGTGACTGTCCTGCCCAGGGCTCCTGTCCCTGCCTGTAGGGGATATGGCTATCCTCAGGCCACAGGGCAAGAGGCCAGGCTGTGAAGGCCCCTGCTGCCCCCAGATGCTGTGAAGGACTCCACTGTGCCAACAAAACCGGCCATGACAGCATATCAGGTGAAAGCGTCACGTCTGTCACATTTGCTGAAGTGTCTCATGTAGTGTGCACCTGGGTCTTCAGAAGATGTGTCAGTATCTGGGCAAGTGACCCTGAATCTGGACACACATACAGATGTATGCACATACGTGCATGGACACCACACAGGCACACATATGGGTACATGTAAGGCACACACATGCACACATCCCATGGGTAATGATAAGGACCCCCCACATACCACACAGGTACACTCATGCACATTTGTCCACACATGCCATATAGGTACACACATGTATGAGTGCAAACACTGCACAGGCACATACACACATGTACCAAACACAGCTGTGCACATCTGCGCACATATACATGTACATATATACACACAGCTACATGTCAACATGCATTCTCACATATATGCTCACAAATGTACACATGCTACATGCACACTCCTGAATGTACATGGATACACATGCACACAGGCATGTACATGTATACACAATACACACCACACACACACAGTGAAGCAGATGTTTCAGGAAATGGAGCAAAATGTTCACATTAAGTGCATCTGGGTGAGGGGGTTTATTCTTACTATATTCTTGCAACTCTTCTGTAAATTTGACAATATTTCCAAAGTAAAAGTTTGAAAAAGGAACTGCCCTCCTCACCAGCTGCCACCTCATCCTACTCCATCAAGCGCCCCTCCCAGAGCAGCCAGGACCGGGCTCTTCCCTCTCCTTCCAGAGCTGCACTGTCCCCTGCTGAAGACAGACTCCTGCTCCCCACTGGCCCAGGATTCTGCCGTCCCTGCAGCCATCATGCTCAAGTCCAGTCCCCAGGGGACAGCAGTCTTCCCATGATAAGGGAGGACGGGAGGCCCCACCCCTGCTGCCTGGCAGAGGTCGGCCTGAGAACCTGGACACCCTGAGCCTCACCAAGGCCAACTTCTTGAGCACCGTATCCAGACACAAATGGTCACATCCGCCAATGCTGACCACAGTCCTGGCCAAAGCCCAAAGTCTCCTGAGGGCCTTGGAACCTGTGTACCCCTTGCCCACCCCTGTGGGCTATCAGAAGTCACCAGGGCTGCCCAGCCTATAATCGCAAAGCACCACCCAAGGCAGGAATCAAGGCTCCCCTCACCCTGGAGGGGATTCTTCATGCTCCACAGCGTCACCTGCCATCAAGCGGTCACGCTATGTCCAGACTCTCATGTCCACTCACCCGTGGCATGTGGTGTGTGGGCCAGCGATTGCCAAGCCTCATCCCTGCAGGGCGACACAAAGTGTCTGCGTGCCCTGTCACCCAGAGCCCCAGGACATGCCCATGAAGGGCTGTGGCTTTTCACTGCCGAGGCCTTGACCATGGGCACTGGGCCACAAGGCCACAGGGTTGGGAGGACAGCTTCTCTGTTCTGAACACATGGGGTGCCCACACCTGAACCAGTCCAGATGTTGGCAGTGGTCGGTCATTTCTTGACTCAGGAAGACCTAGATGTTTGGGGAACGGAGGGTGTGGACTCCCTAGAGGCAAAGGGGCTTCACTGCTGGCCTGTGCTGGGATGAACTTGGCCTCATGCCACCACGGGAGCCCCAGTGGGTACCTCCCTGCTCACTCCAGAGTGAGACCTGGCCCGGTGTCCACGCTGCTGAAGCCTGGGCCTGGTGATTTTGTCTGGCTTCTCCCTTGCTAGCTGAGCAGTACAGATAGGACGCTTGCTTGTGCAGAGCCAACCCTTCATGTCAGTCAAGCCAGGGCGACCCGTGGGTTATGTGGACCTGGCCTGGTTGCTGGGGAAGGAGGAAATAGTAACGTGTCATCAGAACACCAGCAAGGGGACATTCCTCCCTCATACCCCTTCGCTTGGTCTTCCTCTTGCTGGGCCTTTTTGGTGGCAATGATGAACTCTGAGAAGAGACCCCCTCCCCCCAAGAGGACTCTGATGGCTTGGGAAGACTCAACCGGATGTTCTTTTGGCTCAAGTGTGCACCTTGTGACGCATCCACAGTGAAGCTGACGATGTGGCAGGGGTTGGCTGATTAAATAAACACCTTTTTTTAAACACCGTTCCAGAAACAAATGTGCAAACTTCAATAGCAACTCCAGGCTACAGACCTGTGGGGGACCGTGGGGCAGAGGGAGGGAGCAGCCAGAATCACAATGAGGCTCCAGAAGCCCATGGGAGGCCCAGTCTAGTGATCTGAAGTCACACAGCAGCGACAGCTCCAGGCTGGGAACCAAGGTGCTGGGCTCCTTTCTCAGGCCCAGAGCGGTTATCTCTGTCCTAGCAAAGGAGGAGTTCACATTCCAGGACAGTGAGCCTGAGTGAGGTGGACCTGGTCCCTCGAGCACCACAGGCCTCATGTCGTCCTGTGCCAGCCCCTAGCCTGCCCATTAAGCACCCAATGGAGGACAGCGACCTGCAAAGCCAGTCAGCTACCTCCCAGACCCTACTGGGAAGCTTATAGAGCCAGAGGTACCTCAATAGCACATCCAGCTGAAGGTTCTGCCAGTGGCTTGGAATTCATTGAGATTTAAGAATCCTACCACGGTGTGCCCTGGAGAGGGACAGAGGGAAAAAATATGGGGCTTATGTGGTCCCTGAGTTCTCACACCAGGAGCCCACATCGCTTGTCCCCCTTCCTTTGATGCACCTAGCTCTAACCCGCACATGAGGCACCAGGAATGCAGGTGTATGTCCTGACACCTGATGCCTGCCCCCTAAGACTTCTCCCAGGGCTGGAAGCCTTTGGGGAGGTGACACATGGGCTGTACTGTTCACTCCTGACACACAAGATGCTCAGCAATGCCACTAGCCAGGGTCCCCGTCACCACCACCTACTGTGAGGACCAGTCGACAGTACCCACTGCTTCCACAAGCCCAAGTGACAGGGGAATACCCTGCTGTGACACATGCCACCTCCAGGCACCAATTCACCTGCACAGGAGCACATTAGTGGCACACAGGCAAGAAAACAGCACACAAACAGTAGGAATTTACTACTCAAGGTGGAAAACACTTTTTCTTTAGTTAGAAGTCTCACTCTATCGCCCAGGCTGGAGTGCAGTGGCACAATCACAGCCACCCCAGTGTCAACCTGCTGGGCTCTGGTGACCCTTCCGCCTCCACCTTCCAAGTAGCCAGAACTACAGCTGAATGCTACCATGCCCGGCTGTTTTTTATTTATCGTAGAGACGAGGTCTCGCCAAGTTGCCTGGGCTGGTCTCGAACCCATGGGCTCAGGCAATCCACTCACCTCAGTCTCCCAAAGTGCTGGGATTACAGGCTGAGCCGCCAAGCACGGTTGGAAAACACACTTTCTAAGGTAACATCACAGGCATAATCTGGAGCTGCAGGTGGGAGGACAAAGTCCCCTCCACCAGGCCATAGGGACAGCGAGTCTATATTCCTGTCTCAGGTGTTTTCTCACACTCATTACTGAGCTCCAGCAAAGGCCACAGTAGCCTGGACAGAACTTTTTGGTGTGATGCTAGTATTGCGTCTCTCTCTCTCCTACTGTCAGATCCTGGCACATGTGCACATTAAGGTCTGTGCATTTCACTGTAAATTTTACCTCAAAAAGAAAACAGATATTCAACTCCCCCTGATGTGCATGCAGAACTTGGAGTGAGCACACCAATATCCACCATCAGAACACAGAGAAAGAGGCTGGATGGACGTGGGGGGGGGGCGAAGACAGGGCCTCTGTATCTAGGGGACAGCAATTAGGGCTCATGGAGGTCTCACACCGCCCCTGGGGTCTACACACGCTGCTGACAAGGAGCATCATGATGCAGTTTGTGATCTTACATGAATAGCTCTGCCTGCTCAGGATGAGAGAACAAGAACCTCAGGCCATGAGAAACACAGGAGCTTTCTTCATAGACTTCTTCAGCAGCTCTATAGTCTCAAAACCCCAAAAATATTAACCCAAAAAGCAGAAGAATGAGAGGACACCAGTCTTGCTAAATAGGTGTTGTTTATTAAGGCTTGTATTCTCCTAGAGGAAGGAACCCGATGTCGTCCAGGACTCCATACAGGCAGTGACAGTTCAGAGGAAGTGACATGTTCTAGATACAAGTCTAAATGATACAGCTTGCACTTGAACTCAGAGGGTCTTGTGGAGTAAGTATTTTCAGAAGGCGTCTGCTCTCTAAGACAGGAAGGGTCCTCTACAAGGGCACGTGCAGATTTGGGCGCTGGGGCGTCAGGCATGAGCACCATTTTCATGCTTCAACTCAAACTCCAGGTGGTGGCAAGTTCAACGGTCCCTCGTTCCCCAAAACATGACAGCAAATTCATTTTCAAAAAGGTTTTTTGTGTTTACCCATTTAACAGGAAAAAAAAATTAGACACACAGTGAAATTTACAATCAGCGGCATCACCCATCACACTGTACTACCAGATCCTACACTTAAAGCTCAGCATCACTGTATCAAAACTTAAGACAGCATTAGGGTTCTCCAGGGGAGAAAAGGGGAGATTAAAAATGATCCGCAAAAACTAAGAATGCCTGGACACTGGACCAGAACTAAAACAAACCCTCGGCCAGTCGAGCTCCATCCCCATCTGGCTGGATCAGACGACAGGACCACGAGCCACGGAGCAGCCCTTGGGGGGGGGGCCACAGATTGTGAAAGGACAGATTTTCCAAGGAAACATGTCCACCAAATTAGAAAAAGTAAAATTTATCTTTCTGTCTAGCAGAAAAATAAAAGGAGAAAATTAGCATTGTAGACAGATAAAAATGTCAAACCAGCTGAACAAGGTGACCAATAACCTTTTGAATTTAACATTTTGAAAAGATTTTAACAGAACATTCTAAATGACAGCATTCATGGTTTCTTATGTTCCTATAAAACAATAAAGGGGTGAGAAATGTGAAGTCTCACATGGAGATATTGAACGACTGCAGATTCAAGAACATAATTTCTGCCAAAACACAATCTTTGGGACATATTAGGATTGTTTTGCTTTGTTTTGTTTTGAAGAATACTTGTATTTTTACATTAGGTCAGTCTGATTGATAAGCTGACAAAAAAAATATCCTTTATTAGTGAGTTCTACAATATTATAATAAACATAGAAAAAGTACAAACAAATGCAGACCCATCCAGGCAAAAAAAAAAAAAAACCCACATAGAGGTGACAATGCAGCACTCAAGCCCTGCACAGGACGACACGCTGGAGCTGACCAAGCACACGGCTTTAAACTGTTTTTCAAAGTCAAGTGTTAGAACACGTAAGAAGCTGGTTTGTCCTCATTGCTTGTTTCGATTCTGCCGTTCCTGGAAAGAGAGAGAACGTCACCATGCCGTACACACGGCTCCTTTCCCCCAGGGAATTCCCAGGGCCCTGTAGATCTGGAGGTGTACCCTGGCCTGGTACCCAAGCCACCTAGGCCTGGTCCCACAGACTGGGCTGTGTGGTACCAGTCCCCACAGCATGGCATTCTGCCCCATCCTCCTCAAAAGAGCCCACTCTGCATAGGAAAGCATCACCTGTCACCTGGGAGACCTCCTCTTCTATCATGGGTTATGTCACTGTCATTCCACATGGAAAACATATTAGAAATGTGAAATGATCTGCACCAAGAGAAAGGAACTAGCACATTCTGGACTCAAGCAGCCAGGCACGCAGGAGATGCTCTTTTGTACTACATCTCATTTAAACCTCAACGTTGCCAATGAAGGGCAGGAGGACAGGCTCGCCGTCAAGTCCACACCTCACTTCTAGCTCCAAACAGAAAGCCACAGCCCCAGCAGCAGAACTCCCTCAGAGCAGCACTCCTCTGGCCAGGTCTATTTTCTTTTATTAAAATTTTAAAATTTTTTAAATTTATTTTTTATTTATTTTTTATTTTTTTGAGTTGGAGTCTTACTCTGTCACCCAGACTAGAGTGCAGTGGCCACTCCCGGCCACCGCAGCCTCAATCTGCTGGGCTCTGGCAATCTTTCCACCTCAGCCTTCCAAGTAGCTGGAACAATAGGCGCGCGCTACCATGCCCAGCTCATTCTGATTTATTGTAGAGATGAGGTCTCGCCAAGTTGCCCCAGGTGGGTCTCGAACTCACGGGCTCAGGCAATCCACTCACCTCAGCCTCCCAAAGGTGTGGGATTACAGGCTGAGCCATCAAGCCCGGTTCAGGCTCTACTTTCTACTTCCACAGAGAACCCTCTTTTCCAGAGTGTTTGAGACCCAGTTGGTGATGCATAGATGTGAAGTTCTGCCCATCCGCCTGCCTGGTTTCTAGTTAGGAGGGTCTAGAAATCATCCCCACCTCTCCCTACAATGTGGCCTGGGAACCAAGGAGCACACACAGCCCGGCTCAGTGACAGGCATCCTTGGCCATCCATCCTCACCCAGTCCCCTTTCCTACGAGAGGCGAACTAATAGAGACTGCTGAGCAGTACACACAAACCTCAAATGGAATCCTCCCCTCTTCTGCTACAAAAGGCCCGAGTATGTTCAGATAATACGTCAATAACCCCCCACCACCTGCATGGCCCAGAGTGAGACCCAGCATAGGGCTCAAATACTTCAGAGGCTACAGGGATTTGGGTGAACACACTGGGTGGGTTGCACACTCTCAAATTAACACTCACCCCTATCCAGAGCAACTGGGAAAATTAAGAACTCTGTATTTTCCATGCTCTTAAAAATTCACTTAAAAAAAAAACACCTCTTTGCTTGTTATTCCTGAGCAGATGCCAATCTCTCCCGAGTTCCAATCGCTGTTGTTAAAGGCATTCAGAAGGAACCTTCCCAGTGCCCGCCCCCTTCAATCCTTCCAAGCTGCTACAAAGGTCATCATACTCATAAAACTCAAAGAAACAGTTGACAAAGGAAGCTCAGCTCACTTTAGCGGAACGTCCAATAGCACACAGGCAGTAAATGCTTATTCTTAACATCCTCCCCTCTCTACTCAGTATCCAAAGTCAAACTTGTCATCTGAGGGGTGGACCCATGTATTTGCTGAGATGACCCGCAGACCAGATCAGGTCGGGGCACCAGCAGCCGAGCAGAGTTGGTACAAGAAATCCAGCAAGGCATATGGTGTGGAATACTCCCCGCTTTCACTGTGTTTAAGCATCCTAAGAAGTGACTGTTTATAAGCCAAAATGTACCAATCAACTACTTGGTCTGATACTGCTGCCATAAAAACTAGTCCTGTCCTAAGAAACCAGTATGCTTCCAAATGAAGAATTGGACAGCAATCCTCCAAAATGTTAACTACATTGTGCTTCCTAAGCACTAGATTTTTTTCTTGCCAGGCACAGTGGCACACACCTATAATCCTAGCTACTCAGAGGCTGATGATGCAGAAGGATCGCTTGAGTCCCAGAGTTCAAGACCAACCTGGGCAATACAGCAAGACCTCAACTCTAAAAAACGTTTTTTAAAAAACAAACAGTAGTAGACTTTTTCAAATTATGAGCATGTGAAAGCACTGAAGTCTAACTCTAAATGAACCAAAGGTAGGGCTGTTCTCAAAGTCCCGAGAGAAACTTGAGGGGCCTCACAAGGAGCTCACAGTGTATGACAACCAAGAGGAAGGCATCACTGTCCTTTCAGTGCACATCATTCTTAACACAACTCCTCACTGGAAATCCAGAGGGAGAAAATACTCAAAATTCAGAGTGTCAGACTCCTGAATTAACTGACAATCCAGCCTTGAGAGCAGAGAACAGAGCACCCTGGTAGAAAGGAAGAGCGCAGCACAGACAGGACCCACCAGGGCCAGTGGGGCACGTCCCCAAGAACCACCCCTATGTCTCTACACTGCCTAGTGAGCTTAAAAGATACCAGAAACTTCACCAGATACCAACACCTCAGGGTTCTCATCTGTCCCTTTCAAGGACATGAGTGAACCTAACACCAATCTACTCAGACAAACTTCCCAGCAGGGCTGACAGGGTGGAAGTGGTGACCTCACACACCTTCCCAGGGAGCTTTCACAGGCTGCTGGGGGGTGGGGGTGGGGACTTGCCTCCAGGACACGTGAGCAGCCTAAGGACACCTTGGACCCCAACACCCATGGGCCTTGCAGTCCACTCACTGTGAAACCCAACCCGAGACCTGATACAAACACAGCTACGGTGTTGAGGTGCTGCAAGGCAGGTTTTACAACACACACATTTTTAAAACATCAACCAGGTCAGGATAGAATTTTACCCCTAAACTCTTCACAAATCTTTAGGACTCAGTGCACTTTAGGAAAACCCAGTATCGGTTACATATCACATCTTAAACAGATGAAAAACTATGTGCACACATACACATGTATGCACACACACACACTCTCGGCTGCCAGCTTAAAGCCAGTCAAGGACCTAAAGTTTCATTAGCAATTATTCCTACTCTATCCCTGCAAATTCAGAAATTCAACATTTTATTTTATACCTAAAAGAGCTAAAATATAGAATTTCAGTAACTGAAAATAAATGACATCCTCTTCTCTTCTCACAAAAGAGTGAAGAAAAGACCAACACTTTTTCAAAGTTTGGCAAACTCCAAGTCATTCGGGATGTGAGTAACATTTAAGACTGCTAACAGGGCTCAGTCTGTAATCCCTGCACTTTGGGAGGCCAAGGCGAGTGGATTGTCTGAGCCCGCGAGTTCAAGACCCACCCAGGCAACTTGGCGAGACCTCATCTCTACAATAAATCAAAAATTAGCTGGGTGTGGTAGTGCATGCCTGTAGTTCCAGCTACTTGGAAGGCTGAGGCGGAAGGATCGTTGGAGCCCAGCAAGTCAAGGCTGCGGTGGCCGGGAGCGTGCCACTGCACTCCAGCCTGGGCAACAGAGTGAGGCTCCGACTCAAAAAAAAAAAAGACTGCTAACAGCACGACTGCATACCCCATGTCCATGTCCTTTGGCTAAAAATACTTCAAGACACTGGATGTTCACAGATGAACAGTTCCTTAATATGGAGGACTGAAAACCCACCTATCATCAACTGACAGTTCATGAAAGACAGGACATTTTAATGCAAAAAAAAAAAAGCAGGAGAGATTCTCAAGATGAACTCTCTCAAATGCAGGAAGCTTTCTGAAGTATGTCGATGTTCTTCTTGTCCCATGTCTGATGGTCAAATCTTCCGAAGAGCAGACACTCACTCAGATGCATCATGACAGCGCAGATGCAGGAGTCTGGCTACCAGCATAACAGATCAAGACCATCTCAGAGAGACCACTTGAGGCCTACTGGACCCAAGTTACACACTGGATACAGTTTATTATTACAAAATCTGAACTCCAAGCCTACCCCATCCCCCACCATTTTACTACCTGGATGGAATGAATGCAAATGTACAAAAACTGCAGAATACTGAGTTTTCAAAAGAAGAATAAAGTAATATCTTCTAGATCAGATGGAGCTTCCTGACTACTGAGAGGCAATGTCCTGGGAAGCAAGAGACCCTGGACCAGCACATGTGGCTCCGCAGCCCTACTTGCCCACCTCAGAGACCTATGAGTATGACTTTCTAAGTGCTCCTGACTGGACAGATGCTGAGCACAGTTCTAGAAAAGATTATAATTCAGAAAGAAAATAGAGAACAAGAGAGTAAGTTATTCTCAAATGCTTTGTAACAGAATGTGTACATGGTGGTCCCAATTATTATGTTTCTTAAAAATTGAAACGTAATCAAAGTCAACTGGTGACATCCTCTCAAACTTCACCAATGGTCACTCCTGATGACCCAGTGGGAAAGCCCAGGCAAGGTATCCGCCCACCCTGACCAGCTAAGAACTGCCCGCCAATGGACCCACTCAGCAGACCTGCCACATGTGCAGCAAACACAGATGCCTATGCAGCAGGACACCACGACACTGGACTCACCTTGCGCACCACCTCCTCCTCCTCCTGGCGCTTTTCATAGTGAGAAAAGTCATCAAAGATGGAGGTTGTGTGCTTGTAGGAAGCGATAATTTTCAGCACTTGTTTTGCTTTTTCTAATGGCACCTCCTGTGTGTCGCGGGAGTTTGTGACCGGTTTATTATCGTTATTCTCCAGTCTGATGTGCCGGAGCTGGTTATTGGGCACATCCTTGACAAAAATCCACTTCACATCGAACTTTCCCTTCCACTTGTCCTGAGACCAGACCCCAGCACTGGTGCCGTAGTCCACGGGGGACTTCATCTCGGCCACCCCACAGAAGTGCCCGCTCCCGTTGACGCTGAAGAGCAGGTAGACGGGCCCCTTGCTGCCCATGGAGCGGAAGGCGCCGTCCAGGCGCTTATTACCATGCTCCGTGCTGCACCAGATGGAGTACTTGATGGAGCGGTGGATGTCGTCCTCCGAGTAGCTCTTGATGATGAACACACGCCCACTCTTCAGATTCCAGTCAAACTCCTTGGGGTTGTAGCTGTGCGCGGCTTTCAGTTTTTCCAGGACAGGGTGGGACTCTACACTTGGGGCAGAAGTGGGCTGAGCACTTCCGGGAGACTTACTGTCACTGCTGGCACTTCCACTCTGCAAAAACGCCGCATTCCTGTTGCGAGGGGCAACCCAGCGGGTCTGGGGTGGCTGCTGAGGGCTCTGGTACTGTGGCTGGGCCAGAGGGGGAGGCTGCGCCTGAAGAGGCAGTGCCACCGGCTGGGGCTGCGGGGCAGACTGAGGGGCCGGGGCCTGCTGAGGGGCTGGGGCCTTCGGCAGGGGCCCCTTGTTATCCCAGGTGCCAATGTCCATGTTATGCTTTATGGGTGGAGGGGGCAGTGCAGCCCCCAGGACAGGCCCGCTCTTCGTTTTCATTTTAGGTTGTGGTTTTGCAGGCTTGCTGGCAATGGCGGCCCACGAGGTCGGCTTTGAAACCGGCATGTTCACATTTGTACCACCATTGCCGGAAAGGACGCCAGTCAGTGCCACACTGCTGACGACAGAGCCCACTGTCTTAACGGCAGAGGAGCTGACGTCCCCGATCTTTAGGCCGACCATGCCCTGCTCCAGGCTGTTCATCCCGGGGGCCTTGCTGAGGGTGTCGCTGTGAAAGCCCGTCTGCCCATCCACGACTGTGCCGCCCAGGGAGCTTGGCGGGTAGGTGTAGCTGCTGCCGTATGCAGAGCTCTGAGTCTGCTGCCCTTGGGACCCACTTGTCCCCCATGCCGAGAATGCTGGATTTTCAGGGAAAAAGTTAAACCTGTGCTGATAGATGTTGTTCCCCAGGCCCCCAGGTTGCCCAAAAACAGCATCATGCATGAAGTGATGGTCTCCATTACTGAGCTGTCCATAGGTGGTGAGGTATGGAATCGGAGGGTCCCCTGCAGTGGACCACGGTGCCTCATTGAGGGAGTAAGGAAATCCAATGGACGGCGGGTAATAGCTGGATAGGTAGGGGTCGCTCATTGAGGGGTAACTGTTACTCTGTGAAAACAAACACATGGCAAGTTAGATTGCTTCACAACACAAAGAGACACTGAAAATGCCAACCATCTCTTGCTTAAGCACAAGCTGCGCAAAAACAAGCCCTGCATGGCACTGGGCTACTCCTTCCAAAAGGAGCACTAAGGTTACAGTGTGAGAACAAAGACTCAGAAACTAACAATGAACACAATTCAGGCTGTTGTCACAAAACACAAGGCATCATTTGCAAGGATCTGAATTCAGGCTAAGTGACTAAACTACGTCTCTCTAGAACCAGCTAGGTAGCACCCCGCTCTACTTCTGCCTTCAAGAAGTGATACCCTTAAAGGAATCCAGAGTTTGGAATAAACCCCTTCCTGCTGGTAACAGTACTTAGGCGAATACTGACAGAAAAGCAGAAAATCAAATAGTTCTCAAAGGCAGTACGATTTTTCTAGGGACAGGCCAGGATGTTCAGGGCCAAGTTGTTTGCTACAGTAACTTGATCCAACCTCACAGATATTCAACACACCCTAGCACCCCAACCCTGGGCCTTGACACCCCTCCTGGGACACACTCCCACACCGGGGCCACAGTACTTCCTGTCATCCTTCAAGGACCGTGTAAGGGGCCCCTTCCACACAACTCTCCTGACAGCCTCTCTCCTCTGAGCCCAAGAGGGTCACAATCCCAGGTTCCCTGGCAGGTTCCAGTTCCTTGGACAAGAGGAAGTACTCCAAGTATGGGTACTGTGAAAGCCCACTCACCTGGGCTTTCACAGTGAGAACACAGAACCTTAGAGAGGAGCTTTACAGTGGATGGACCACAGAGCAGCAAGGTCTGGTGGAGAATGTGCGTGGTCAGCACCTCCTTGTAAGGGTCTTGGAAGAGCTACCCAAGGGGTGGATTTAGACTTAGGGTCAGCAATGTTGGGATAGCGTCTCCTTAGAGGGAATCACCCAAGGGTCTGGTGGGACCTAAATCCCCACTCCCATACCACCACTTGTACTAAAATGGCTTTCCTATGGAACATGAGGGTGTGTGCACCCATGTGCAGGGAGGCAATGGCCCAGTGTGAAGTGAGAAGGCCCCTGCCCAGAAGCAGCTCAGAGTGCGGAAGGGAGATAACCACTAAGCTCTCCAGTCTCTAATGCCCACCCTCTGACTTTTAAATAGTCCCCAGTCTCTCCTCCCAAGTAACCAGAGCACAATTGAGACCTCATCTCAGTCTCACACTGGTCTCCAAGCAAGATCCCCGATGTTTACCCCTTTTGGGGGGTCAAGAACCACACTGTGAGGGATGTGGCATCCAGGCAGAAGACAACAGTGGGGAAGGTATCTGAGGCAGTGAGGGAAGCTTGCAATCCCAGATCAGTTTCACTGGTGTGATGGCAGGAGCAACTCTCCCTGTGGACAATGGTCCAACACCAGCCAATGCTGCAGATGGTAGGGACCCAGTAACTTAGCCACCACTTCCTGCTTCCTGGTCCCATCCCTAGAATTCCTAGGGCTTCCTTCAGCAATCAGATTAGAATTATCTTCTGATTTCCTTCCTGTTGACTGTTCCACATGTCATTAGACAATTCCAGAATCATCATTTAAAATGCAATAACAATTGCCTCCAGTTATAAAAATTTGAGATTTGCAGAGTTAAAAAAAAAAAGACAAATGGGACACCATCAACATTCTGTAAACATAAGAACAACACGAGCTGATACTCCTTGAAGCTTGTCAGTGATTCTGGCTCCTTGCTGCAGCCTCTCCTGGGGATGTGCCTCTTACCCAACCTAAGCCCTCCAAGCAGCCTATCCAGCAGGCCCAAACAGAAGGGAGAGCAGAGCTCCCCTTCTCTGGCTCTGGTAAGGGAGGCTGAGCAGAGGATGTGTTCTGCCGGTGATGCCTGCAGAGGCATTCGCGAAAGGTGTTCAGACAGCAGGACACAGGGGCAGCCCTTCCCAAGGGAGGCCTCCTCCCTCCCTTCAGGGCTACCCACTTCCCAGTAGTGCTGTAAAACACCAACACACCCTCCCTCCTATGCAGAAAAACAAAGAGAAGGCCTCACAGCTTTGTGGCATTCTAAGTCGCTTGGCCACATAACCAATCAATGACGGGAATGAGATCAGAGTTGCCAGGGTCACTTCTGACTTCTACCGGAAAACTTACCTAAGACTGGACCTAGCCGGGCTCGGTGGCTCTAATACCAGCGCTTTGGAAGGCTGAGGTGAGTAGATTGCCTGAGCCCGCAGGTTCGAGATTCGCCTGGGCAACTTGGCGAGACCTCATCTCTACAACAGATCAAAAATTAGCCGTGTGGTAGCGCGTGCCTGTAGTTAAAGTGACTTGGAAGGCTGAGGCGGAAGGATCGCCGGAGCCCAGCAGGTCAAGGCTGCAGTGGCCAGGAGCGGCCACTGCACTCCAGTCTGGGTGACAGAGTAAGACTTCAACTCAAAAAAAAAAAGACTGGATCTAACTTAGGACGTGAGGAAATGCACATTACAATGCACTGAAGTATTAAATGGACCCACCTAGCACATGGGCCAAACAGGCCACATGTGTCACAGATGCAGGGCCCACCAATGGCCCATAAGGCTTCCCTCCTGTACTATGCAGGGCAGGTGCTCTCAGATGCTTCCACTAGAACTGTGCAAAGAAGAGGTAGCCCGCCACATCTGGACCTTCACCTCCAGGACATGGGTTCAACTAAAACACCACAAAGAGTCCCACCCGAATCCTGGAATTCCAGTTCTTTTATGATTCTAATACTAAGATCCTAGCTGTCTTTTCTCACAAAAACCATCACAACCCAGGACAAGGGACAGCCCAAGTTCAATAAGGAATGTGCACACAAAGTGATAACTGGTCAGGCAAGGTGAAAGGTCCTTGGGAGGACCTCACCCATCTCCTATTTTCAGTCATCAGAAGAGGACTGTAATCTAAGCAACAGTACCATCACAACCTACTGAAAAATCATGAAACAATTGGGATCTTCGGAACTTTCTTAAACACTTCCAATTCATACAAGGAAAAAAATTTCTAATTTCAAGTTCCCAGATTTAAAAAGTTAGAGTTTACTAAGAGTTCTCTGACAACATGCATCAGGCCAGTCAGGGTTGTCCCCACCTGACAGAAAACATCCCTCTACCAGATGCCCACTGGATGCCACCCTTCACCGGGTGCACCTGGTCCCCATGCTTCTTCTCTCACCAGGCTGCACAGCTGCACAACCTGGGATGCTGTAGGCCCAATTTCAATTTTTCCTCAATCTTACTGACTACCCAGTTTCCATGGAACCTGCCAGACTTCCAGCAAAACTCTGAAAGGACAGCAAGTTCATTTACAAAACTACATGAAGCAAGACCTTCCACAGTAAGAATACCTGGTGCTTCTGCTGCGTTCCTGTTACTAGCGCTTGGGCCACATGCCAGGCTGCAGGTTGCCCGCTCGCTCCCCTTCCCTGGTTAGGAAGCTGTGTTGGTCAGTCAGCAGCACACAGGGATGACTGAACTGTCTAAATGCATAGCAACGTGATTCTAATGGGTGCTGGAAACACACAGGCTGGCTGGTTGGGCAACCCAAGGAGCCTCCTACCAAGCCTGTGGCCTTCCTTCGCACAGCCAGGCACAAGCTCAGAGCTCACAGGACCACCCAGTTCGGGAGTGAAACGTGCTGCCACCAAAACATCCCTGGGCTTTGCGGAGCCAGGGGCACACAACAATGTGAGTATCCAAGTTTCCTTACCAGGGACAGAGTTGTAAAAACTAAAGTTTTTAAAACAAATGCCAAGCTGGCTCTTAACACACTGATACCTCTGGAAAAGTGCACTTTCATCTTGGTAAAGGACAAAATCTTTTAAAGACAACACAGCCGGACCTCCATGCTGCCAGACGCGTCCACACCAGAGACTCACAACAGCCCCTCGAGAGCAACCTAGGACCTCACCGAAGAGAGGTGAGCACATTTTTAAAGGTAAAATCAGAGTCCATGGACAAAGGAAAATATAGCTGTAGACTCTTAAGGCTCCTCCACACAAAGAATTAAAGAACTCTTAAATAATCAGTCACTATTATCCCAAGGTTATTAAAAAAAAAAAATATAGTAAGTCCTAACTCGATTTTAGAACAAAGAAAGGCTTTCCATACTTTCTTCAAATCTAATATGTTAACAAAAATAAATTCCCATTCTGAACAACCAAAACTGTTTGAATTGTAGCTTCAACATTTGCTTCCTGAATCCATTTTTCTGAGAAGAGTTCTGAAAGCCTTCAAATATTCTGGCCTGGGAATGACCAGGACAGTACGAAGGGAGAAGCAGAAAGTATCCCTCAGAAGCCCAAGACAACAGAGAGAAGAAGAGCTGACCTGCTCGGCCCAGGCCAGAGGCCGGCCAACCAGTATGACCTGCAGCTCTCCAGGAGAAGCCTTGGGGGACACAGAGGAAACATTAGAGAAAGAAGCCCCAAAGCCCCCAGTCCCTCCCTCAGCTGCTCACTTCTCTTGTTTTCCAGGTTGGGCTGGCTGGGTGTACAGAGACAGCAGTGGTTAACAGTTTCTGCATCTGTCCTGGCAACTTGCCATGAGCAGAACCTGAAGCCCCCTGCTCTGCCAACTGTACTTCTGGGAAGCTATCATGTGGCAAATCCCTACTTAGTGAGCACCACTACAGGGTATGTTAAGGAAGCATCCACAAGAAACCTGGGATGAGCACCCACCTGGATGACCAGCCCTCGGCTGCTGACCCCTAGGTGGCCCTGAGCCCACCAGAACCGCCCAGCACACTGGCCACCCTGTGTTGTGTCTCCCAGGCTTTTCTCAAGGACAGATGCCCTGGATGTCTCGACAAGGTGCAGCACTGACTGAGCTCAGCTTTGTGCTGCTGGGTGAAAACCTGAAGGAAGCCCGGGTGATGAGTTGGGCACAATTTCCAAGACACACTTCTCTTTTAAACTGAAACACCTCTCAAGGCCAGCAGCTTCTTGCAGATAAAGTAGACGGGTACAAGTTTCAACTGAACCACACAAAACATGAATGAAGACGGACACAAGAGACTTCAAGGGACAATATACCAAAGCTCTAGGACGTCCTAAACTCAGAGACAAACTACAACCGATTGGCATTGGAACCAAACCAGGAAAACATGAAAGTTTCTTATAAAGTGAAAGTTTCACTTTATAGTTAGAACACAACTGAATTATTAAAGAGGAAAAACAAAAGTTTCATTATTTCCTGTTTCTGTCAGATGTCACTGGGCAAATGAGTGGGTTGACAACCAAGTACAACCATGCATTACTTAATGACAGGGACATGTTCTGAAAAATGTATCCCCAGGTGAACATTCCAGAGTGTACTTACACAAATCTAGGTGTCAGAGCCTACCACACACCTGATCTATGGTGCAGCCTATGGCTTCCAGGCTATAAACCCACACAGCATGGGACTGTACTCCATACCGGAGATAACTAACATACCAGTAGGCATGTGTATATATAAACACATCTAAACACAGAAAAGACACAGTACAAATACATATAAGCGATAAAAAAGGGTACACCTGCAGCAGTCTGGGGCACATCCAACAAATGGAGCCTGCAGGACTGGGTAAGTCAGTGAGAAAGCGGAGAGTGTGGAGGCCTAGGATATGACTATACACCACTGTAGACTTTATCAACACTGCACACTTAGGTGACACTGAATTTATTTTTTAAAATTCTCTCCTCAATAATAAATTAAATTTAGCTTACCGTAATGCTTTTACTTTATAAACTTTAATTTTTTTTTTAAAGCAGGATTTATTAAGAGGACAGAAAAGCTCCCACAGTGGGAGGGGACCCGAGGGGGTTGCCCAAACTTTTAAATTTTAACTTGTTGACTCTTTAATAACACTTAGCTTAAAACACAAACACATTACACAGCTATACAAAAATATTTTCTTTCTTTACATCCTTATTCTATAAACTTTTTCCTATTTTGAAAATTCAAAAATTTGTTTTTTTGTTCAAAACTAAAACACAAACACACACATGAGCCTGTGTCTACTCAGGGTCAGGATCATCCCTATTACTCACTGTCCTACACCTCCACATCTTGTCCCACTGCAAGGTCTTCAGAGGCAGTGACACACATGGAGCTGTTGTCTCCTATATGACAGTGATACCCTTCTTCTGGAACACTTCCTAAAGGCCCTACCTGGGCTTTTTTTTTTTTTTGAGTTGGAGTCTCACTCCATCACCCAGACCGGAGTGCAGTGGCCACTCCCGGCCACTGCAGCCTCGACCTGCTGGGCTCCAGCGATCCTTCCACCTCAGCCTTCCGAGTAGCTGGAATTACAGGCATGCACTACCATGCCCGGCTGATTTCCTGGGCTGTTTTTTATAGTCAACCTTGTTTTCTAGTAAGTAGGCAGAGTATACTATAAAATAATGATTAAAAGTATTATATTGGAATCCCAGCACTCTGGGAGGTAGAGGCGAGAGGACTGCCTGAACCCACGGGTTTGAGATCAGTCTGGGCAACGTGGCGAGACCTCATCTCTATAATAAATCAAAAAATTAGCCAGGCGTGGTGGCGCACGCCTGTAGTTCCAGCTACTTGTAAGGCCGAGGTGGAAGGATCAGCAGGTCGAGGCTACAGTGGATGTGAGCATACCACTGCACTCCAGCCTGGGTGACAGAGTGAGACTCTGACTCAAAAAAAAAAAAAAAAAAAAAAAAAGAGATATTGTAGAGTACATATGGGAACCAGTACCACAGTCACTTATCACCATCAAATATTTTGTACTGTACATAACCACACGTGCTGCACTTTTATACAACTGGAAGCAGGTCTGTTTACACCAACATCACAACAAACATGTGAGTAATGCGAGGGCTCCAACATCCCTAGGTAACGGACTTTTTGACTCTGCTATAATTCCATGGGACCACCATTGAATATGTGGTCCATTGCTGACCAAACGTCATCCCGCAGAGCATGACTATACTTTCAATGCAGGTGTCATCAATCCCATGCTCAGGTGCCCTTGGTTAATTTCTGTCAGTGGAGTCACAGCACATACACCAGAGAGGCCAGTGACATCTACTGTCAACTCAGGCATCACTCAGAGGTAATGCCACTCTGGGTAGGACCTGCTCTGGGTCATTTAGGTCTTTCCTGACCTTTCAGAAAGTAACAAGGACCTGGAAAAGAGGGCCAGAGCAGGCAAAGCCCCAAACAAGAACATCAACAGTCACAACTGGCCCAGAGCCTAGCACCCTGAGTCCCTCTGCTCCCGTCGCTGCCACAGAGCTTCTTCTCTGAACAGTGACCAGCGACTTAAAGGCAGCAGAAGCTCAGTGAGGACAGTGAGGCCCCTCTGAGGGAGGACCACCCATTCCAGCCCATCACCAGTTAACCAGCCTAACAAGCAGGAGCCTGAAGAGTTTCCAAACCACTCAAAGTATTACGGTTTCACAGAAAGACCAAAGTAGCCTCCAACTGACTTCTACAAATCATGTCTGGATTTAGAAGAAAAAGCACCCCAGGGCTGAGGAATATATCCACTATTTTCACCGTGGTCATGGCTCCAGGGGTGCCTACATTAAGTCAGAAAGTGTAAAACTACACTCTATAAGTATTTGAAGTTTGCCACATATCAGTAATACCTCCACACAACTGTCACACACACACAAGTCCCACGAGGTCCCTAGACACACGGACAGGACCAGCCACAACGCACTCACAACGCACTCACTAGCAGTCTGGCTGGGCGGACAGCACGGCAATCCTCAATCTGAAAATATAAGAGAGAAAAATAGGAATCTTTGTCAGAAAAGTCCGAACAGAGTTAATAACAATCCCCAAATAACTCATGACTGAAACAGCCACATTAGGAGAACTCAAGGCAAGGAGGTAAAGCAACATTGTGGCCCTATACAAAGAAATGAGTAATGCAGAGACAAAAAGGAACCCCCTCCCAACCCTTGCAAGCTCAATCCTTGCAAGCTCCAGCTCTACCACACACTGACTCCAGGACGCAGGCAAACCACAGACTCCCTGGTCCTCAATTTCTCCATTTACACATAAAAAGACCCAGAAAATGAGAATTTAAGACCTCTCCTGTGTTGCATGCTTCCTTTTTACTTCAGCTGGGTATTTCTGGAAAATGTGCTACCAATCAATCAAGAATATGGATTTCCTCTTAAGTCATGTGATAATTAACCATTTTGCTGAAAAGTGCACATCTGAACATATAAAACTAAGGGGTCATTTTCAAGCTGCTCACTCAAGGCCTTTCCCCATGACTTCTCCAAGGGCAAAACAGACCCAAGACACCCAATGGCAGCAAAAAATCACCTATTCCGTTTTAAAGAAATCCTCCCAAATAACACAAAAGTTCCACTTTAATATATTTCAAGTGTACTGAAACAAAACTCCCTCCATGTTTTTTGGTTAAAATTCAGTACATAACACTGACAAAACATTAAAACCACAGGAGATCAGTAGGAAGCAAGATATTCACAAAACCAGATCCACTTAACTTCTTGCCATTACTTCTGACCAAAAGCCCATTGCTGAGGCCAAGTCACTTCTGCAAGGCCTTGTCCTGCCCAGGAGGGGCAGATTCTCAGGATAACCAAAAGATTGGGGAGGGGAGGAGGTGTCAGGGTTCCATCTATACAGGGTTTCTCGGGCTCTAAGCTGCTGATTTGCCCAGTGCAGGAAAAAGGAGGAGGACACAGCAATGTTCTAAGTTCTAACATGCTTTCAAAAAGGGCAGATTAGGCCGGGTTCATTGGCTCAGCCTGTAATCCCAGCACTTAGTGAGACCGAGGTGAGTGGATTGCCTGAACCCACAGGTTCGAGACCAACCTGGGCAACTTGGTGAGACCTTGTCTCTACAATAAAATAAAAAATGAGCTGGGCGTGGTAGTGTACGCCTGTAGCTCCAGCTACTTGGAAGGCTGAGGCAGAAGGATCGCCAGAGCCCAGCAGGTCGATGCTAGGGTGGCTGTGAGCATGCCACTGCACTCCAGCCTCGACGACAGAGTGAGACTTCAACTCAAAAAAAAGAAAGAAAGAAAGAAAAGGGCAGATTAAACAAGAAAATGGCAGACTAGTTTTATTCCACCACAGGCAAGAGATGAAGCCCAGTTTTATTCTAAAGCAAACATGCCCAGTACTTATTCAAAGTGGTAGACATAGTTAAACTTAAAACCCAAACATCCCAGTGGTTTTTGGCTTCTGGGAAGAAGAGCATTGGCCCAGGGCCTTTGTGTCTTTGTTGAGGGTGGCTGCAGGAGAGTGGTGGAAGAACAGAGATGAGAACTCGGGACAGCAGGTCTGTCACCAAAGCACACAAGTACAGTCCCCTCATCATTCCTAGAAGTGGAAAAGTGGTATAGGGCAGCCCGGGTTCCAAGTCGGACTCCCAACCAGACACCTCTTCTCAGGAGCTGCAATGGGAGCACAGAGGAGGAGAGTGGGTAGCTTCCAGGAGATTCTGATCAAGGCCAGTTCACCCCTGAGGAAACATGTCACATTTTTGGTTACCACAACTGAGGATGGGAGTGGGGAGGAGGAGTTGCTAATGTCATCTACTGGATGGAGGCTGGTAAACATCCTAGAATGCAACAGACCCCAAAACAAAGAGCGCTCAAGTCCAAAATGTCCACAGTGCCCAGGAAAAGAAACCCGGAACTACCTAAGGAAACAGGGCAGCTATGACTCACTGGGCCCTGTATCAGGTACTGTCTTGGCGTCCTATGTGCACCATTTGATGTCATCCTCCCAACAATCTATGAAGAGTCATTATTTCACAGAAAAGGAAAACTGAGGCACAGAGAAGGCAAGCCACCCGACACAGGCCACACAGTCAGTGATGGAGTTAAGACCTAACTCCACCAGGACAGCATCTGGCTCCATAGCCCAGTTCTTAGCTACTCTTCCAGATCACAACTCGTCATCCCAAGCTAGAAATAAAAACACCAGCCCTCAGAGAAATCTACACACCTCCACTCTGTCAAAGGCACCACCTTGCTGACCCACAAATGCTAGAACCAACCAGAACTACTGTATCCCAGCTCTGGCAGAATGTTACCTTCTTCACAGAGAAAAACTATCTCCATCACACCCATGCCCCAAGCAAAATGGGAGGCAAGTCTTTATGAGCACCCTATCATTTCCAACACTTTAGTCTGCTTATTTGTTACTTCAGACAATACAAAAATCAGCACTATGACAGTAAAAATATACTACAAAACAATTAAAACCAACTTGAAAATAAATATATACTAACAAAATTAACTTACCTGATTTGACTGTCCAGAAAGGTAGGGCTCAAAGTCATTGTCATGAACTGTATCCTTCTGATGCAAAGAACCATTTTGTACTAAAACGAGACGTTGAAAACTATTACCATCAAATTTTAAAAGACTAGCACGTGAATTAAAGTTAGTAAAGTCTATTTCCATTCATTTCTAGAAAAAATTATGAAACAGGCAAAATTAGCATATAACTGATGCTTACGCAACTAGCTAGAATGGCACTGCGGAACTTCCAATAACTTAACCTGCACTTTACATAAGATTTCATGGTAATCTCGTGAGATGTTGACTAATCGTGGATGAAAACACTGTGTGATAAGGAACTCACAACAGGTGAAATGTGGAAACAGGTCTACACGTGGAAACCAGAGGGTGGGGCCTCCAGAGTCCGCTGAGGAGGAAACACCTGGGGGAAGGGGGCCAGCTGCGAAGCTGGCGCTCTAGGGCAGCCCACCGAATAGCCACTGTAGGACGCCCAGCCAGAAAAAGGGAGGGCAGGCCAAGAAAGTACTGGGCCTTTTCCAACCTGAAAACACGACGAACCGTATCTGGTTAACACCTGAGTTCACACGCGCTGGCTGAACAGTCTTTCGCGGAAACATCAAGCGTCACTTACCAGCTCCCCCGGAGGAGACTGTGGGGTCTATCCCAAGCCACCACCACAGAAGAGGGTCGCAGACTCGGAAAGCGGGGAGCTGGGGCTGCCCTGTCCCGGGCCCCTGCGGGCGCGGAGAGATCTCGCGGGCCCTGCGGCCACGTCCTCCCACCCAAGTCGAGGGCCTCGCGGCGGGG